ACACGGGGGTGACATTAACTCCAATGAAAAAAATTTCCTGTTATTTTTCATCGTATGACCAATATCTTATACTTATTCACGATCACGATATATACGCATTTGGCGTGATCTGATCATATTTATACATAAAGATAAGCCTCACAATCGATCTTCCGGAGAACTAAGCCCAACATAACTTAAAGACAATAAGAAAAAGCAAAAATGAAGCTTTGGGATTCGAACAGATATGATGATCAAGGAACAATGGACGAGAGTAGTCCTTTTGACGATTTGTTCAAATTTTCAAGGACTCAGCGTCTTTATGCTTTTGGAATTTGGTAGGATCTCTATTTGCATAATGCGTACGTCCATAGTTTGCAATTGACTGTTTTCCAAAAATTAATATTTTTATTCGCTTTTAATTGTTAAATAGCTTTGGCATTGGCTTTCTCATTAGCATACTTGTTAGCAATATATATTTTATATCACAATAAATTTATTAAAATTAAATATATTGATCGTTTATTTTACTACTTTGCACGCAGTCAACTTTAATGTTGATAACTAATAACTTGCCTGGGTTCGCCGTTTTATACACTCTCGGTAATGTCGTGTCACTTTTAAGGTACGAAAAAGATTCCTGTTATTATTTTTCCTATTAAAATTATCTAATGAATTCAATTTAGTACTGGGTTCCTTGTTGGATTCGCGAAACAAATAAAAACAATGTTTGCACCAGGTATTCTCGAATTTTTTTTGTACTTACATAAAAATTACAATTATTAAATTCTAACAAAATTAATTCATTATTTATGAAGTTCGTTGGCTCGCTAGTACTGTTTTCGTTGCATCGATGGCACTCACATTGGTTGTGGCATTCTTGGTACGCATTATTTTGTATTTTCTTTATGGATTCTCTATGATCTAATTCAAATAACAAATCATATATTACCTTTTTTAAAATTTGCGTTTAATAGCTACAAAGTTTTATTCTTTGTATCGTCATGTGTATCGTTCAGTTTTTAGCTCTATTTTGGTATTGGTATGTTGACTCTCAAATATATTAATATGATTTATCAATTATGATAATAATATCTGATCTGTATCACTTTTTTTAGTGCAAGTTATATACCTTATGGCCGGTAAGATCTTAACCTTGATAAAATTATCGATTTATGTTTATACTTATAACTATTAAATCTATTTTAATTTATTTAGCTCGATCATTAAAAAAATGTGTGGCAGTTGTATTGATAGTATCGTATAATAACGATATAATTATTCATTATTTTATAGTAACATCAATTCCTTGAATTAGTAGTATATGTAGTGTAGTTTATTTAATTCTTCATATATAATTGTCCTCTTTTCTTTTACACGCAATAATTTATACACACGAAAACAATTATATCATAAACTTTTTACACTTTACCATATCAAATTTGGGATGTACAAAATATTATATAAGCATAATGGACGGAAATTATGTCCGTTAATCCATAGAGGCAATTTCAAAAATAATTGATATTTGTTTAAACGATTTTCCAGGTCATATATTCACCTATCTTGCTACTTTAAATAAAATATTATATTTCTTATATCTGTTGCAATATAAACCACGGATTATCATATGTTAACACGTGATTATATCACTTTAACTTTTTGATTATCGCTATACCCAGATCAGCAGATACAGGATGATTTTCCGTTTTGCATTCAACCAATCAAATCGTGATTTAGTAATCCAATTAATGCTCGTCTTGATAAGACGAATAGAGCTGTAGAATGGATTTAAATGATGATTTGCAAATAGAAACAAAATTTTTTTGCTTTATTTTATGAATCTTATTATATAATTAGTTTCCGTTACTTATAACACTTTTTTATTGAATATGTATCTATTCAAAATCAATAAAAAAATTTTGCGAGGTTCGGAATAGGTTGGACAATAAACCGGATAAAATTTCATTACTCACGAAGCTTTTCAAAAGATTAGTTAGTCAATACGTTCTAAAGGCGTGTATTGTAATTATTCATATTTCACAATATTATTCATTTCGCAATAAGTATACTATTTATTTTATAACAAATACTCTTAAGTTTCGCGACACAATCTGCT